TGAAGCCCTGAAGGTTAAGGATCAACCGGATGTGTATATGGAAGATCCCTGGCTACGACAGCTGGACTGGTCTGGTCAGGAGATCAAAATGGCCAAAGGAAAAAAGAAAGGAGACCCTCCTCGACCAGCTGCGAGGCAAAAAAAGCCGGGTATGCCAAAATGGTACAAAGATCTCTTTGCCACTAACACAGCCGATATCAATCTTACTGTGCGAAGTCGGACTGCACCTATATTACTCAAACTATCATGGGATGGATATCCACTAACTTGGTCTGATAAACACGGCTGGACATTCAAGGTCCCACGAGATCAAGTCAAGAAATTTGAGAACCAGCCTGTAGTGCTCTGCGATATGACGGAAGAGAAAATAGCGGAATTACGGGACGACAGACGACATGTCTACTTTAAGCTTCCACACAAGGATGGACCGCAGGCCCGGTGTGTTAATCCGCTGGCCAAAGGATTCATGCAGTATTTCGAACGTGGGACTCTCTCTTCTCAATATGCGCTCGCCAAGGAAGCTTTGGAGATGAATGCTTCTTGTTCATATTGGATCAGCGCTCGGGATCGAATCATGGGCCAAATGGTCGTCTACGAGGATGAGGTGCAAAAGTCTCACCCGAGTAATGCAGAGAGCAGGACAGGATTTATCTTGCCTCAAGTAATACCAATGGGTACTATTACGCGACGAGCCGTGGAAAATACATGGCTTACTGCAAGCAACGCTAAGGAAAATCGCGTTGGATCTGAACTTAAAGCCATGATCAAAGCGCCACCCGGCTATGTCTTTGTCGGTGCAGATGTTGACTCACAGGAGCTCTGGATCGCGAGTCTCATCGGCGACGCTCAATTTCAGATTCACGGTGGTAATGCGATCGGTTTCATGACTTTGGAGGGATCTAAGGCAGCAGGAACCGATATGCATTCACGCACTGCCAAAATTCTAGGGATTTCGCGCAACGATGCCAAGGTTTTCAACTATGGCCGAATCTACGGAGCTGGCGTAAAATTTGCTGCTTCGTTATTGCGTCAGTTCAATCCTTCCATGTCAGAAAAGCAAACCCAGGAAGTTGCGACCAAGCTGTATCAAGAGACGAAGGGTGCACGTACGACACGTCGCATTTTAAGTGATAGTCCCTTTTGGCGCGGAGGCACGGAATCTTTTGTCTTTAACAAGCTGGAGGAGTTTGCTGATCAAGAGAGACCAAGAACGCCTACATTGGGTGCCGGCATCACCGAGGCATTAATGCGGCGTTTTATCAACCGAGGCAGCTTCATGACATCGCGGATCAACTGGGCAATTCAGTCATCTGGTGTTGATTATCTTCATCTCCTCATTATCGCCATGGACTACCTAATCCGGCGCTTCAACATCGCTGCTCGTCTAGCGATCACTGTCCATGATGAAATCAGGTATCTTGTTAAAGATGAGGACAAATACCGTGCTGCTTTGGCTCTCCAGGTAGCTAATGTCTGGACTCGTGCCATGTTCTCGCAGCAAGTTGGCATCAATGACCTCCCTCAGTCTTGCGCCTACTTCTCTGCAGTTGATATTGACCATGTTCTCCGGAAAGAAGTAGACATGGATTGCGTTACCCCTTCGCATCAACACAAGATCCCACACGGTGAAAGTCTAGATATCGTCCAACTTCTGGAGAAGAATGAGGCTGCTTGTCTAGATCCTTCCACCATCCCGAACTCACCTCCCTCTCCTCAGAACTATACGTACATACCACGAGAGCCCGTGATGTCCACTCTTCAGTCCACTAATAACCCTGCATTGATCAGAGCCCAGATCACAAAGGACGATAAGGAACTTCGGGAAATCATCAAAGAAGTTACCAAGGCTAAATCTTCTTCCGGACCGTCATCAAAGGCACGTTCTCAAAGTGATCGTGCTAAGTCTGCCAATTCCTGTACGGCTCAACCTCAGAAGGCCATTTTAGTCGACGTCGGGTCAGGTCTTTACAGTGACTTTCACGATCTTCCCCCGGGGAGCAGGCATCCCCAGGTCAACTTGAACCGACAAAACTGGAAATCCCGGCCATCTGCTCGGGCATAAATGCTCCATTCTGACAATTTTGTCAACCATCTCCCTCTTTCCCATATTCTATGTATATATAGCCTGATCTATTCGGATCTGGACATGGTGTGTTCTTGTTCTTTTTGTGTTCCTTCTCTACTTTCTTGTATTCCTAGTTAGATCTGGTTGGGGAAGCATTGGGTGGCGTCTCATCTGGCTGTTTCGGGTGGTACGAAGTATCCATCTCACATTATGTGTTGTCTATGATAGGCATGTTGATTGTGATGCTGTAATACTGTATATAATGTTGACAAAAAAATACATATAATCAAGACAGTTAATACACTGTAGCAGTTCCCCCGCTCCAGACTCTGCCAAAGAAAGATCTAATCAGACCTAACCGAAGCCCACCACATATATTGCGCCATAAATAGATCTAGATATCAAGGGAAGATCTATTTATCTCTTCCTCCCAGGATCTAATGTATTCCTTCGGCTTAAGCCATTCTTCTCCCCACCCCGAAGCATCGCATCGCCCTTCTTACCAAGCACCACCTCAAGAGCCTGGACCAAAGCCGTGGCATCATACTTCATCCCAATAGGTGTCTCAGCACCACTCGCATCCGTAGTGACAATCTTCCTCCCATAAAGACGAAGAGTCTCAATACCCATCTCAGCGAGCCGTTCGCGATCCACCTGTGGCGTCCCGGGACCCTCCAGGTGAAGAAGATGCGTGACATAAGACGAATAAGGAAGACCTAGACCTGGAATCGATCTATGAATACCAGGATTAGAGGACGAAAGAGCCATGCGACCACGGCTTTCCTCCCCGGCGCGCATAATCGCCTCGACGAAGTTAACCGCCGTGAAAGGTTCAGACGGGGGACCCGTTTCCCGGTCTAGGGATCCGTTCAGAATGAGAATCTTATGTCGGGCGGGACTCGTCACGATGGCCTGTCCGACGCCGCGGAGGATCAGAGACGGGATGAGAGACGTGTAGAGGGAGCCGATGCTGTAGATGATGGCCTGCGAATCACGGATGGATTCGAGGACGCGGGGATTGGCGGGTGGTCGGATTTCCTGGCCGTAGGGGTTGATGTACCAGATGCGGGTGATGCGGGAGGGAAGATCCTCGTTTTCGGATTTGGAGAATTGTATGTTTTTGTTGCGCAAGGTTGGGAGGGAGCCTGGTGGGTGGTCGTCTTCGTAGGAAAGTGTGTCGGAGGTGTCTGTGTCTGTGAAATCGTCGGCGCCGTCTGCGAGCAGGAGGCTTGGGCGTCTGGGACGGGGCTGGAGGGCTGTTGCTTCGCTGGGGTGGGAGATGCTGTTTTGGCCGACGATTACGGAGCCGTTTGCGAGGGAGGCGGAGATGTGGTGGGAGAAGTTGGAGTTGATGGCTGGGATTACACGGACGATGTCTGATGGTACGCCGCAGATGCTACCGAGGAGGTAGATGGCGCTTTCGAAGCTGCCGCTGAATAGGCGGGCGCCGGTTAGGAAGAGATTGCCTACGCTGGCAGAGGTGAAGTCGAAGGTTGATGATGGGGGCCGGGCACGCTTTAGGATCTCCAGGTTGAGAAGGTTGAAGAAAGAGCGTATGAGTTCTTTCTTTGCTGGTGTGATGGCTTGCCAGAGCTTCGATGTGCCATCAACAATCGAGAGCCATTCTGCGTGGGCGGTGGCTGCGTCCGCTGACAGTCGATGGTTGAAGAGGGTCTTTATGGCACCCCGTTCGGAATTCGGGGGCGAGTCTGGAATCAGACGGACCAGTCTACCTGTGCTTGTTCGTTAGAACAGTGAGTAAACAGAGTGGGTGGGTGCTTACTTCTCACATCGCCAATTCCTGGACCCCCGAAGATGCGGATCAGTTCCGATGAGGAACCTCCGTTGTCACTGATGGGAATAATATAGCTCAGTGGGCAGTTCTTAGTGTCGCGTACCGTGTCGAATACCTCGACTAGGTTATTGGCAGCACTGCCTCCCGAAAAGACTACAATGCCCCTGTTGGGGGTGGGAGTAGTCGACATGCTTGGGAGCCTTGGCAGCGACGATCAAACGGTGAAGCAGGAACTCGAGAAGTGGAGATACAAATGCCTCTCGAGTAAGCAGGCACGGTCACTTATATACTCAAAGTCTGGCCGTAATATCTAATGTCACATTTCAAGGCCACGGATAGTATATCATTTCGCAACCTGGCCAGATGTCATTAGCCAAGACTCCGTAGGGCAGGTGGTTCCTTGATGGAAGGGCAGAAAACAGAACATGCCTGTGTTGGACGCGGTTGGAACCATATGATTGACGGCTCAGGGGCATGTGGTCATGAATACTAAGGGAAGGACTACAGTGGAGAAGAAGTAAGGGAAAGTGAGACGTCTGCCAGTAATGTACTAGGTTCTGGGGGAAAAAGTGACAGTCACTGATAATGGAGCCGAGGCCGCCATTGGATACCGTGCCCTAAGATGTAAGCTATGAGGACTACTCTTTTGGACTATCAAGGCATTCAAGGTAGTCATTTCTCAACAACTGGGTCCCATAACTCAGTCGGTTAGAGTGCTGAGCTAATAACTCAGAAGTCGAGAGTTCGAGCCTCTCTGGGACCATTCTTTTTTTCCCTTTTGTGTGTGTCTGTCTGTGTTCTTTGCTTATTTATAACTCCGACATCCTCTGCCTCAAAACTTCTTCCCCCTCTTTTCTTTTTTCGCATTCGGAAGGGGACTCGCGATAGTAGTATTTTACTTCTCTCTCCACTAGGCAGTTCTATCCATGCAGATTTTCGGTTTTTACTTCAACTACCTTCACCAGAATGAAATGTGGGAGAGAGGAATGATATGATATATATTAGATAAAAATGCGCAGTATGTATGTATAACATCTAGTATGAATAGGATACGAAGAGACGCAGCGTAACACTGAACCCCATAAGTCAAATATATCGTTCATCCGTAACACAGCCGCACTATTAAGTTGTATCATTCCATTAAGCATAGGCAGCCCAACCTATGATGATGAAGTTTGTTAGTATCGCGGTACAACCGGTTTAGGTAACGTTATACGGAACATACCGCAATAAAGGACGGCCAGGTTCTTTTCGTCGGTTGCTTGCTGGATCAGCTCATTTACAGTAGCCGTAACACTCAATGTCTTGCCCAACTTCTTTGCTACAACCGTCAACGCACGATCGGCCTCGCTTGGTTCATTGCTTGGCCGTTGGTCGGCAGCACCAGGCAGCATGGGAGGTCCGCCCCCAGCTTCGGAGGCGTCTTGCATCTTCTTCATCCTCAAAGGGGACACAGTCCAGCTGTAAAGTGGATCGTAACGAAGCACGTCAAGGATGGTCATGATACTGTAGGACTCTCGTCGTAAGGTTTCAAGCGTGAACTCGCAACAGCGGCGGAAGACACCCTCGGTCTTGGTAACCCCCATCCCATCGACAAGGTCTCGTGTCAAACGGAATGGAACGACTTCGGGGACCGGTAGCACCCGGCCTTGTTCGAATGCAACCCCTAAGTCGATATGTACCACTTCGCCAGTCCTCTCGTCTAGCAAGATATTATGGCCATGGCGATCGCCGAGACCGAGAACATGACCTAAGATTGAGATGGCAGCTGTGCTTCGAGTATACGAAAGCCTTTTGCTAAACCAGTCGTCGGGATTGTTAAACTTTTCCATGAAGAAGTACTTCATAACAGGATGGAAGTGTTCAGTAACCTGTCGGTATGTCCTAACGCGTTGCTCAAGTGATCGTGTTTGAACATCGCTAATGTGCTTGCGGCAAACGTTTGGTTTCATGTCCTTCGGATAGTATTTTTGATGTGCAGGCATCAGATAATCATGCAAGGGGATGGTGTGTGGCACGAATTCGATTATTCCCGCATTCGACGTAAGAGGCAAAACCTTGTATGTGCGAATTCCCAGATTTCGCTGCCGAGTAGCCTGATGGTCCTTAAGAAGATTGCTAACTTGTTCAAATACTTGTTCCATGATAGCGTCTTGCCGCAAATCATCATTCCCTCCTTTAAACTTCCGGTATTGTTAGCCTAACATTCGCTCCAGACGCCATATCAATCGATGTTCAATGCATACCAGCTGCTTATACCGTAAACCATTACTTGCAAAAGCCGAGACAATCTTTGGCGCACTGACGCCGGATGCGATAGTGAACTCGGGATGGTACCTAACAAGCTTCGGTACATCACTATAATCGCAATCAACTCGGATTTCAATATTCATCGTGGGTGGTGGTAGTTTCTGTGTTGCGGCATCCTGCTCGAGGCGTGCGCCAGTTTGGAGTTTCCGCAGCGGAACCCTTGCGCCGCTCTTCAATTTTTCATCTGGCCTGTCAATGGCAAATCGTACATAACTGATATTGGTGTTGTGAACGGCGACCCATGTCGGCCCAATATACTTGTCGTTCTTTAGGCCTTCAACTAATCGCCCGGCTGCTCGATTGCGTGATAGCGCCGATTCATCCTTTCCTCCCTTGGACTTACTGCTCGCAAATATTTGATACATACCATGGAATGGGTGCTCAACGCAAATGCGAGTAATCAGAGAGAAGAGCATCTTCTGGAACTCATCAGGCACATCCAGCAGGCGCGAGGTTAACTGATTCATCAAGGGGGCAAATTTTCGGCTTGGAACTTGACTGAGATGCTTGGAAACGGCCGCATTTGCGATTTCGCTGTCAGACTTGTCAAGCCATAGTGCACAGAAGCGGAGGACATCATTGTTGTAAGTTTCGCTCTCTCTCAGACAAAGGAGATAGTTCTCGAGACATTGTTGTAGGAAGGATTCCCGACTTCTTCGCAGACGTTGGTATTCACGGTCATCAAGATCAAACCACTGCTTTGTCCTTGTTCGATGAAATTTGAGAGCCTCCCTCTCCCTTCCCTCAGCAGCCTTCATCATATCTTCCAACGCTTGCACTTCCTTTTCCTTACGGTTACGCAGTTGCTCAACTCGCGTAAAATCTTCCAAACCATCGGGGTTCTGTAATTGTTGGTCGCAAAATGTGGCAAACCCGTGATAAACTCTCCCAGCTTCTTCACCCCCCGAGCGGCCTTTTAGCTCCTTGACTGCTGCTAATAAATAGTCTTGGATGATAATCTCTGGTTTCTCGAGACGTGCCTCAGCGACATGGTGGCCCTTGCAAGCAAGTAAATTAGCCTGGAACGAGCAGGGTTTCGTATGCAGGGAGTTAATATAGACATAGCTTACCAAAGTCACGAGGAGTTCTGCACGGCTGATTGGTACCACCTGTTTATGTAGGTCATTTTGATCCTTGAGATGGTGAAGCATTCGAATTGATACAGTCATTTCACCTTGGTCCCATAAAACATTAGCTAGATCGAACTGGGCGGCCCCTTCAATGTTGATCCCTAGTGTAGAGCAGTGGTGTGCGAGCTTAGAGAGGCACACGGCCGATTTCAGCGAAGCTTGCTGGATGCCCTGGGCTCTTGTGATATGAAGTGATTGCCGAATGGCTTTGACCTCTAGAAGCTGTGCGTCATGATCGCTTATATTGGTCGAAGATCTTAAATAAGCCTTTCGGTTGATTGATGAGAAGAGGGCTTCGTGTGAGTTTAGTATCTCACTAATTTCATGAACGCTGCCTGAGTTAGACGTAGCTCAAGTAGACAATTATTGTTCTGCAGAGTATCTGTTCCATACCTGGTGGTCTTCAACCAAGACTCCCTGGCAGCGATTTCCTGCCATTCATTATTGATTTCTTCCGTTGATCTGGCGTCCAAAACGTCACTGACTTCAGTGATAATCCCAAGAACCCTCATCGCAGTTCGTAAAGACATAGCAGATCGACTGCTGCTCGTAAGCGACTCCAAAGTTGTCAGCAGACACTCGTTGATAGACTTAGAGGCATCAGTCAAGCTCCCTGACGTGTTGAGACTTTGGAAAGCCCGGAAGACAGTCGCGGAAGGTGAAGGATTCAAGGGCGAGACGGGTATATCCCATTGTCTTAAATTTGTTGCGGCCTGCAGCATGCTGTCAAATGAACTTGATGTGTCATTGAAGCTCCCACCAGATGCCGAGAATATGGAATTAGCAATTCCCTGTAAATTTGTCGAGTTGAGTGCCTTTAGAACGCCATAGGCGTTTGGGTCCGCTGACATCTGTATCTCGCTATCATACTGTGCACTTTGGAAGAGGAGATTCTTAAACCCTGAACTTTCATGTTGGAGCCTTTCCATAACTGAGTCCAGGGAGGGGCGTTGTTGGATGCCGTAGAAGAAATCAGGGTCATCTATGTCCTTGAATATTCCATGCAACATGTCCGAGGGAGCTTCGTATTTGGCTAGCGAGGAACGGCGAGAGCTAGAGATTACACGAGATGCATGTATCTCAAGGAAGAGGAGTGCTGTCTTTGGTAAACGGCACCTACTGGCAGCCAACGCTGCCTCTGCGAAGTCTATCTCCAGCCATTCATCACGTTCTACTATTGTCGCCTCATTTGGTTTCGGCTGGTTTCGAAGATATAGAATGCAGTTGATTGCAAGCCGTGCATGTGGTATAGTAGTGTCATGAACATCACAAAGAGCTTGCTTGAAAATCTGGGAAACTTCCTGTCGGACAATTGCTTCTTCTTGGAATTCTGCAAGCAGAACATCATGAAGCATGTATGGTAGGATTTGGACGGCTAATTCAGGGATAGCATAGATAATGTGACTTAATGACCCAATCACAGGATCTTCGGCTGCAGCTTTTGATAAGAATAACGCAATACTGCGAGCCCATTGAGATAAGGGGTTGCTTATCTTCCAATTCATTTTGGAGTCGTCTCCTTCTGTGTCTGAAGTAAGTATCGGTATGGGCGGGCATTGATAGGGGCTCCATGTGAAAGCTTTCATCAAGTAAAGAGGTACGACACTGATGCACTGTTCAAAACCCGGATACCTGGAAAGATTACTTATGATGAGTTGCAAGGTTCGCTCAACGAGTCCCACCTCCAGATAGCTGTTGTTTTGTAGCATGTTGCATAGTTCTTGAAGTATGCTAGCTTTAGAATAACAGTGGACATCTAAGCGCAAGTCGGGTAATTGAGATTTGAAAAGAGACAGATCTTGCTCCCTGAGAAGGGTGTCACTAACTTTGCCTGTAGTAGCAAAAGCACGCCCAATGACTTTCGCAGCCCACAGTCTGTATCCAGATCCGGTGCTGAAATTTTGTAGAGTTTGGTAGACAGCAACGATATTAGAAGTTGCGTCCCTGTCGGGCTCATTTAATTTGTGATAGTTTTCAAGCGGTTCCTCGGAGTCAGCACAGAGCAGTGCTATGACATGGTCGGAGACAGGCTTGCTCAAGAGGCTTTTCTGAGAGCTCCGATCATCAAGAATTCCCAGGATTACATCACGTTCATTAGTGTCATTTGAATGCGACCCAGCAGTGCAGGTGGCCTTTGAAGACTTTACCACCCGGCGAAACGATTCTCGTGTTTCTGCATCCAAGGAGGACTCGTAGGTATTTATATACTCCCCAAGCCACTGAAGAAACCTTTCAATATTCGCTATTACTATTCTTGACTGACTCTGTTGAGCTGTATCAGCCGGGGGAGATGCCAAAAACCTTTTCAAGGACAGCAATGTGGAGACCGTGACTCCAGCCATGAGTCCGGGAGTCTCTGTCAGATAAGGCTGACCAGCTTCCAAGAGATACCAGAAGATTCCTAATGCATCTTCTGAGCAATATATATCCACCAGGAACGGTAGCATGGCGTGGAGGGCCATCTCGAATGGATAGTCTCTGAGCATAACAGATCCAGCCACGCAAAGTAGTACCCTGACCTTCCGGATTACAGAACAGGCGTGGAAAGAACCAAGCGCGGGGTGAATCGATTCCAAGAGACTTCGGCAAACATAAGAAGCTAGTGTAGGTGTCCAGATTGTCTCGAGTTCATACCCGCTGCGCTTACAGAGGAATTCTAACTCATCAATGAGGTAGCGAGCCCTGAACGAGGGTTGCTGATTTGCAGGGAGAACGATTTTTGAAGCACTTTTACCGAGGATGCACCTTAGACAATCGAGGGCATACTGGAATTTTGCACGTTTTGAGAGGGCTCTTTCGACCTGTTCATATTGATCAAGGGACCCGAAGAAAGCTGCTATTGTCTGTGGAAATTGCTGATCAATCAAATCCCTGAAACGTTCAGTCCCTAGCATTTTTTTCAGCCGTGTTTCGACACCTTTAGGCTGGCTACCTTGCCCAGGAGGAGTACTGATATCTCGGGCGATGCTATAGGCCTCCGCCTTGTAGAAAGATGTCGCTAAAAGTTCAACGAAAGGCTTTCCCATGTGCTTTGACATTTCCATCTCCTCATCCTCCCGCGCACGCATGATAATTTGACCGACAAGTTCGTCTTGAACATCGCTTAACATGTCCTTGATACTTGCATATCCAAATATAGTGAAAGGCATGACTGTAATTGATTCCTGCTCAGTCCAGGTATAGAGGATCTGGGAAGAAAATAGCCGAAAGAGCGCTTTCGCATCTTTGAGTCCAAGCGTATTGGCAACACCACTTATGCACTTCTCAGCATACTGAAGTGAATGAGGTACATGTGCCGGGGTTTCGAACATGTGGTAAATGCTTCTGCGGAGTAAAGTATGCCATCGTGAAGCTAATTGTCCTAATATGAACAAACGAAGGGCGATGCCTTCTACCCAATCGGACTCTTTGGGAAGGTGTCTCAGCACGTCGTTGAATATGGCATCATGATCATTTAGTGAATACAGGCCAAATAGTCGGGGAATCAGATTTCCAACATCAAATTTAACTGGTATGCTGCCCTTCTCTAAAATCTGCAGAAGGCTTGTTCGTGGAGATGTGCTCGATTCACCGCTGGAGTACGAGGCGTTGGTATTGATGACACCCACTAGGAGTTCACTGAACATAACGAGAACGGAAGGCGATGCCATGTCTTTTGCCAATAAAACGTCTCTGAGCCATGTATAGATATCTGATGCTGAATCACTGAGATTATCATCTTCCGGGTTGACCCATGCTTTGACAAAGCTATGCATCATATGAATACAAAGGAAGTGAGAGGCTTCACAGCGCTCCAATTCATAAGTCTGTAGGCACTTTTCAGCCAGGTCTTCAAGGATGTCGAGCAACGAAGTCCGGCCCATTCCAGAAATTGCACGGTAGACGTGAGGTAAAAAGTTCCCCGCGGCTAAGATATCAACTTCGTCTAAATCGATCAAGTATTCAACCAGAGCCCTACTGGAAGGTTGATCGCGGTTGTTCAAAAGTGCGTGGGTTTTCTGTAAAACAGAGAGCTGAATAGTAGTACACCGCTGGAAGGAGGAAAACTCCTGGAATAAGGGTAGCGCTTCTCTCTTGGACTTGATGATTGAGGTGACCTCCGCCAGCCGATCTTTTGAATTGAATAGAGTATCGTCCAAATCCATAGGCTCCCCGTTATGGGGAGCCAAATTCTCTCTCTGACATCTTCTATAGGCTTCTAAAAGGCTCGCTAATGGAAGGACAAGCCTGAGCAGAGCCTTTGAGACCGTTGAGTCAGGATTGAACGATAACTGTTCAGGATCAAGGAAAGGCGACAATACTACCAGACAACCTTGAACGAATTCATGTTCGTGAGAGGCCAGGAAGGTGCATATAATCTCCCATAGACGCTCGCTATTCTGCTGTAAGTTTTGGAGTTTTGATGCAGATTGGTGCGGCAGACATTCCGTGTAAAGAGCAACGAGAATACAGAAAGACGCAACTATCTGCACGATGTCCACCGTTATATGATGTGATTTATCCTCATATAATGATTGGAAGGCTTGCAAGAACATTTCGGATTTTGCCTGCAAGAGATCCAGAACCATGTTGTCATTTGGATCTTGTCGTGAAAATGTCTCCAAATGGATAGTATCATCAGTATCCCACATATCAAAATCCAATGTACCTTTGAGTTGAAATAGGTAATTCAGCAGTTGTTTGCTCCTGTGAAGAAAATACCAGCCTTTGGCAATGAGACTCGTTGCTCCTCTGAACTGAGGTTTGGGCGGGATATAATGCCTATTAGTGCAGGCTAAAAGAAGGTTTAAGAGGTCCAAGGGCCGGGCGAATGAAGCAAGTTGAGCTAGCTGTGTCCGATCAGTTGCCGTTCCTGGGGTATTATTAGCATAAAATATCACTACCATCTCGTGGAAGCCGCTATAGTAACATACCAATAACCCAAACCTCTCGAAGCCAGGTGCATATCTGTTTTGAGGCATTTGGAAGGGATCCTGGATTTATCTGCGCAGTCATTCGAGTTGTTGTGGCCCATAAAGCCAATGATGCATCGGACACCGTAGATGGGCCGTTTAGATTGACAGATGTAAGCATCGAGTTCGTGGCCTCCACGACTGTCGAATATTCCAAAAGGTTGAACTCAAGAATGCTATTCATGAGAATACAAGATGCCCTAGAAGTAGCCTGGGAAGTTGAGGCACGGCATGTGAGCTCCCAAGCCTGTTGCCAAATTGCCCTTAATGTGGGCGAGTCTGCGTTAGGACTCCCAGCAAGGCTATAGTAAGCCTGGTTAGTGAGGCATGAGAAAGATTGCTGAGTGAATTCTACCTTGAAATAGTGATCATTGTCCAGGATGCTAGTATGCCATTATCGTCGAGTATGTTTGGTATTAACCGTAGAAGTAGCGATGACTTTGAATCGCCACTAGCATGGTACTTGGGGAGAAGCGGAATCAATTGCAGAGCGCAGATTCTTCTGGTACCTGAAGATGAAGCGCAATCACGGTGAATTTCATCTACCATAGATGTGAGACGTTGCCTTTTGTTCAGCGTCTCACTTGACGTACGTGGCGACGACAATCGCGCAGTTATCTCTTCTGATAAATCCACAAGGTTAGCTATAGCCCAGATCACGGTCCAATTGTGCTCTGATCTGCCAGATTCAAGACGGGGCCATATCAAGATCTTATCCACCGCCGCCGAAGTTTTCTGATGGAAAACCAACTCATCAACCTGTAGGATATCCTTTTCTGGACGCTTGATATACTCTTTGTACAGGGCACCCAAGAGATCTTCAATAGAGCGGTTCAACAGCTCCGATGGCTCCTGTCGAGTCGCTGCGGTCAAGAGGACAATGCAGAGCATGATGGTGACAAGCAATTCATCTTTCAACCCTACGAGTTTGGTAGCCCACAGGTGACAAATTACGGGTATTAAGTCCAGCAGTATGCTCTGGACAAGCTCTGACTTGTCAGATAACACCCTCATGATGACCGAATTAATGCTATTGAATGCGCTTTGGTGTCCACTTCCCGCGATATGCGACGACTTGACATAACCCACTAGCCCATGAAGTATATTCGCGGCGGGCTCTTGAACTGGAGCATTAACGCTTGCCGTTAGCAGCTGAATACAGACTACGGCCTCGCTGATTGCACTCTTATCGCCTTTGGATTTCTCTCTGACAGTTAGTGTTGGCGTCGATCTGGACGGTGTGGGAGTACCTCCAGCTCCCAAGAAGTTATCCAAAGTGGACCGAGAATCGCTCCCGGTATGCGCACGGTCGTCCTCATAATCTTGGGTCTTCAAGATCTTTAGACAAAAATCCATAAGCTTCTGCCATTCACTGGCCCCCAGATGTTCGACATGTGGAGGATAATTTAGCAATGCAGTCAAGCATTTTGTATAATCCACACCGAGAAGCTCAAACAGACTACTTCCTGGGTCCTGCAAAGTTTCGGTTATATGATCAACAACCGCACGAACAGACTTGGCCCGCAAGTTATGCAGAAGGGCGTCAACAGCTAATCGCAGAACAGATGCGCATGTTGATAAGCGAGACGCAGATGGGCCCTTAGAATTTGCTCGATTATACAGAGATTTCTCTGACGAGATGAATCGGAACAGTGACTCAAAGATTTTATGACAAGCTTTGTCATTCAGGGAACTCCTAGATGATATGCACGGGTCAACAACAAGGACCACTATCAATCTAAAGAGTGATATTGATTTTCCACACACAGTTTTGAGTTCCGTTTATTTTGTTGGAGTATATGCTTCAAATCTTGTAGATGTTAGAAGGGTATAATAGATCCTCCAAGTATAACCCACCAGCTAGACCATCAGAACGCTCTTTTTGCTTCTCGGATGACAGAAGCACCAGAGTCCTATCCAGAGTGATTTCCGCCATTGCGATGGTGCTGATAATGCGGAGTAGTACTTATACACATTTAACACTAATAAAAGTCGAACGTTTGATAACCATGTTCATATGCGACAAATCCTAAACTTTCGAGAACTCCATTATGCAACAAAAAACATGGCTAAGCCCTTAAACCTGTATGAGACAGGGCGTTATGGGGAAATTGCCTGGAAGCTCCGGTGCGGCTGTTGAGAGACAAAGGAGCTTTGGTCTTGGCGCAAACAGAAGCTCCGCCGCTTTTACTTTTTCGGGTCGGAATTTTGATCGCGACCTCCGACCTTTTTGGCCCGCAACAAACAGTTTATACTTCATATCCACCTCCACAGCGCTTTTTGCCGAGCTAGGGAAAATCTCTGATCATGGGGGACAGAGACACTCTAGCGGGCCTTCGTGGCCTGTACCAAGATCTCTCTTCCCTCACTGAGTCCTCCTTTGTGAACATTGACCGTCTCCGTGATGAGTTGGAGGCTCACATCGATGATTTCAGGAAGCTCCTTGACAGGCCACCAAAAAACAATTCTAGTCGCCAGGCTGTTCTTTCAGGTAAGCATTTATCTTACATGCGCAATGGGAAATGAAATCTTAGGTTGGAACCATGTTCACGTTACTCCGAAACCATTTAGGGAAGATCACCGTCGATGACCTTGAATATTCTATCAACGAGGAGTTCCAACAAGGCGCGTTACAGCTGGCCGATGCGCTGGGTATCGATGAACTGGAGGCAGCGCACCTGTTTCTTGGCGCACAGGATCATGCTCAGATGCTGGATAGAACTCCTCTTATCGCTGCGATCATGCGATTTCACGAGCGTCGACACTTCCTCCTCGAATCCCTGCGTCTTATCCTCCAAGAATCCTTTGAGGTCGAACGTGAAACGACCCAGGTTCTAATGCAGGACATGATAGCCTTCGTTGTCGAGATAAAGAATGGCCCTCTACGAAACGCGTCACTGTTTGCACGGAAATGCATGAAATCAATGGAAGATATTGAGAAGTGGCTTGTACTTGTTGCTGAACAGATTCAGAAAGCATCCATTGTTGGTCAAGCCGAAGATGCCGATATAATGGAGGCCATAGAGTATCAGCGCGCCAGCTTGCAGCAACAACATGAATCATTGGGTGCTATACTTTGCTACCTTTTCAAAGGCCCTTATACTAGCCCCGAGGATCTTCGGCTGCTGCTCGGAAACCTTCGGAAATTGGACCGGTTTGATGGGTTACTTGTGCATTATATCCCTTCTATAATCGCTGCTTTCGTTCAACATGGTTCTCCGGAAAGTTCCAATTCATACAAAGAGGCTCGAAGCTTGCACACGGCCGTCACGTCGACCAAGGATGGCCAATCCTGGGCCCTACCTACTTTCCATTCTGCAATAATTGCTCTCTGGCTTGCAGTATATGGTGGATGGGATTTTGATGGACCGTCGTCCCCCCTCCCCGGGGTCAATCTTGAGAAGGACGCAGAGGAGCGTACAAAGATGTTCATGACAGCGCTAGATGATGGAGGTCTGGACTTTATGCTGGCTGTCTGTTCTGGAGTGAACAATGAAGAATGGGCAGATCCAGCTCGGAGTGAATTGGTTACATTGCTATTGAAGGAAAGCTCCTCAGCTATGCCCGAATCTGACACTTGCGCTACATACATGAAATGCTTACTGATGGAGAACTTCGAGGTCTTTGTGGAGTCATGCATCGCTAATATGCCAGATGCTGTTCGAATGTTAAAATCAGAAGAAGATTCGCAAAGATTGGATCAAATTACTGCACTAAGAGATGGCCTAACTTCTAGTCTCCATCGAGGTTTAGTGGAAGCTCGGACACACCTTGAATCTTTCCTCATGATAATGGCTTTTGCATTTGAGCAGCGACCGGACGCTGCACAGGAGTTCTGGGCCGATCCTGACGGAAATCTGTATGGCTTCCTTCAATGGGCCTCGAAAAGGCAAACTGTCCCTAGAGTTAGCGCATTCTGTGAATTACTATGCTCTATATCGGGAAGCGAAGATAATGCCACTGCAGCTCATAGATTTCTCACTGAAGAGGACAAGTTCATGTCTGCTAAATTCAAGCGATCGACTTCTATGAACTGGGCCCAGATGTTCGCTGAGTTAGAACTTTATGCTACAAAAGTGACCGAGAAGCCTCCTGCCTCGACATCTCAAACGATCCTACGATCCCGGAAGTCTGAACCAGCAGATATGAGTGAACCAGAAAGCCCTGTCATGCTGACCTGTTATCTCCGGTTGATGGGACATCTATGTAGACAAAGTGTTGCGATACGGGACTGGATGCTTCATCATCCCTCGTTCAACGTTGTCACCACATTGTTGACATTGTGCAGCGGACCGATACCCACGCACTTGAGAGCCACAGTTTTCACCACCCTTGCAGCTTTGATGACTGAAAGAATACCTATCAATGGCAACGAAATGTGGCTTTCTATTGACCAGTGGATTTCAGGTGGATCTATGAGTGCTTCTGGAATGGGCAAGATCCCTGTAGTCTCAAATCCTCTTATTTGGCATGAGCAACAAGCGTTTCAAAAATTTGGCGAGAGCTTCGACCAAGCCAATGCTTTTGTGACCTTGATCAATTCCCTTGTATCTCCAACATCCGATTCAGCTGACTACCACCTCTCGCTGCCGTTTCCTGAATCTTTGGGTTCATCCTATCGCATGCCAGGCATTGAGCCTTACATAGACTTTATACTGGGCCATGCCTTGTCACGGAAAGTGCCAGATCTCAACGAACGCCAATCTCGGATGCTGACGTACAATTGCCTGGAGTTTGTCGTGACGTGCTTGAAGTCCTTCAACGAGAGCCTTGTCTCTGTTCTGAGCCAGCCCACTGTGCCATCCGATGCTAAAACGTCGTCACTGGTTACTTATGTCCGCCTACACCCCTTTGCACGGGTAGCTGAATGGTTGTTCAACGAAGATGTAATCAAGACAATCTTCGCGACAGCTCACCAAGATATAGCCGAGGTTTCCAAGGCAGCGTCTGACTCTATATTGGTCCTATCTGTAGTCAGAAGCCTTGAGGTCATGGACCTGATCATGGACCTTCAGTCGACATATTTCAACATTGTTCGACCTTTGATCAAGTCTCAAAGTGGTGGGGGCCGAACCAACGTAGCGAACTCATCGCTCTCTGCCTTTGAAGATAGTGTCCTGAACAACTTGTCAATTGTGCCAGCTTTGTGTCTCTATTGCAGCACGGCACATCAACAACTCACAATTACATCAATGGTGCTGCTGGAGAAACTCTCTAGCTCCAGAAAGCTGAACAAGGTTTCATCACCCGGGTTGTCCAAGTGGCGGTCCTCGAATAAAATCGTCGAGGTCCTCAGCACGGAAGTAGAGGTGGACAGCGTGGCGCGCCCACTTGTATCTCAAATGCAGCCTGAACTACGGGAACTTGATCATGGATCGCAATCTTCGGGCTACATCATTAGAGAAAGTTTATTGGCGCTGCTGAATAGCTGCCTTAGAATGATCACGGATCGGCCAACGATAGCTCATCTTCTTCTTGGATTTAGCAGTGTGGGAAATATGCTCGACATCTCCTCTGACGGACTTCTCGCCAACGGAATGTCCTTGCTACACGCTATCATCACATTCTTGCAAAGCTATCCAGATCAAGTTGATGGAAATATCCTGTCATGGATGGTGCACCTGAAGCGTATGGCATTGGAGGTGTTAAAGCACTTATGGTCATCCAAAATCTCGTCTTACTTCACCCTTACTGAGATGCGTGCGAACCGTTTTCTGCAAAGTCTGCTCGCAAGCCAACCCATCATTGGACCAAACACTCCTTGGGATGGGTTCCCGATTATGACAGAAGAATTCTGGGTTTCGGATTCTGCTAGTGCTCTCGCTGAATTTCTGTTGTACAGAAGTTATTTGTATGCTTATGCTACTACAGAGGTTCGTTCGGCTGCTAAGCTCCGTTCACCAACGCTGCAAGCAGATATCATGTCGACGTTGTTTGGAAATTCGACCTCAGAGACAGGGGATGCAGTATTGAATCCTACGGTGTTTGACCTTTTCGATTTCGCAGATCTGGACATTGGACGTCAACTCCAGCCCCCCATGCTAGTCCTACTAGATGGTATTATGCTGGATGCGTGCGTAAAAGAAGCGGATGGTTCACTTGTTCTTTACAGTGAGGCAGAGCTGGAGGAGCTGATACAACTTAGGAAAGAGGAATTGCTTTCAAGCGGGCATTTACGCCCACAAGATGAGGAACAATTTCTTGCAGAAGCCGAAGGTTTGAAGATGTTCGTCCATGCAACAAACCAGTCAAGAAAGATCAATAACAACCGTTATTTGGCTCTTCGATCCTGGACAGAACTCATTACAACCATGCTCACTTGCTCCGAAATTGAAGGCGGACGAAAATCGACATTCATACTGCATACCATTCAGTTGATTCTTCCCAAGCTTGAAGCCGCTGTTGAAGAGGATCTCCCAGAGGCGACCGAACTAGCACGCTTAGCTGAAATTTTAGTTACCAAACTGGAATCAAGCCCAGCAAAAGCCAATTATGCCCGGAGAAGTGGAGATGTCATTGATGAGAAGCTCCATCAACTCTTCCAGATCTGTGTTAGAGGTATCACTCTGGCGACAGGAAATGTTAATCTCCGAGAAACTTTCTATAACATTTGCTCATCCTACATCGCCCGTATAATTCAGCCCGATACAGGACACGAGAGTATCAAACAGCATAGCCACCAGATTGTCAAGATGGCTGGCACCACACTGATTGAAGTGATATGCGATGATGCATATGCTGGCCAGGAGACATGTCGCGTGTCTGCTCTATTGTTCCTCAATCTCCTTGCAGCTCTCGATAAACAGGGGGATTCCATATTGGCCGAGTCAATTTCTCAGTCAAATTATCTAAGTCTCTTCCTCGATGCCATTAGGACGTTGCCCGTTGAACTAAAGAATGCCCAAGCGAATGGTAAGTAGCCATGGAGTCTGCTGGCCATATCTACAGCTAATCAGGTCTAATTCAGATACACCTTTACTCTTATCCTACTATGAATCTCTGCTGTCTTTACTTCAGCAACTCTGCCAAACGAAGGCCGGCGCAACTCACGTCTTGACGACCGGTCTTTTCGAAGCAGTACGTGGTTCGCAGCTATTCGCTGCCGACCCAGATCTTGGCATCGGTCAGTAACATGCCGTCCCTTGGTACAATTAAACTGTCTAACGATAGTAGATATTGATAACCCTGATGCCCTCCGGAGATATTACGATCTACTGGATTCTGTCCTACGAGTTATTGTTTCCGCTGCATTTTCCCGGGGCCTTCACAACGAGCAGATGATGGAACAGACTCGTGCGTTCCTTGCTGAGAATAGGCAAAGTATGGTCGGCATATTCAAACGCTTTGCCAAGATCGGTGGAGGGGGTGCTGCCGATCACCATAGCGCCCTAACCAACCTAACCAAATCATACATGGCACTAGTTGCTGCTACGGATTTCTTAGAGGTACGCTCCTTAACACATGGTATACTTCTTCGAGGAATCAGCTAACATTCGGCAGTTTGAGGATAATGAAGTGAGAGAGCTCACTCGACCCAAATTATTCTCGTGAACAGGGACTATGGGCAAAGCGTCCAGGCACTTTTAGGGGGAGTAACTGGATTTATTGATGTAACGAAATGGTGTATATGGAAATGATTGCTATACTGTGCCTACTGTTTTGAATGTACAACCTTGGCATATCTCAAAGGGAGGTCCTCTTTTCCAATATATTGTTTTTTTTTTTTCTTTTGAAAAAAAAGATTTTTTGGACCTAAATAATCCCATTCCGACATAGCCCCCATTCTTTGCTGCCAGCTATGAATGTAGACGTGTAAAATTGTTGTCTGGTGAGATAGTATACTCCCCACAAAGTCAAATACAAGTACAGTACGGTCGTATTATCTTATCTCCGACTTCAACATCAACGGAACCTTACCGCGGAGTATCTCTGCGTCAGCCCTCCTCTCTTCCAGCTGCCCCCTCCATCTCACCTCCCTTCCACCACCATTACCACATCGCTCATTTGAAATTCGAGAAAGCTTAGGTCGATTTGCCATGAATTGTATAGTCCAGAGATCTTCTGGACCTTTCCAACGCTAAGCGCTCCTCTTCAACATCGTCATCTCGGACAAGACCGGGTAGATGCCGCAACCCTCGAGAGGCGCCACCGAGCAGAGGAGCGGTAAGCGCAAATCGACCGGCAAGAGGAAGCTTTCTGAGCAAGAGGAAGCATTACACCAACCTCAGCACCAACAGGCGACGATTTCGGAGCTCCTGTCGCGGAATCACACAACCCACGGGAAAGAGCATCATCTTCATCATCACCAGCTATCCTCCCCGACGAGCAAGCGTCCCCGGCTATCGCCATCCCCCTCGGGTCTAACTGCTGCACAAGGTCCGCGGGGATCGGCTTCATCCAACACCATGTACAATTTTTCCAATCAGGAAACAAAAGGCAATGGATTATTTGGTCAAGTTACACCGGGTACCAACTCCGGAAATGTAGCAGCAAAGCCCCGCTCCTTCAACGCACCAGTGCGCCAAAGCAACTTTACTCCTCACACTGGCGCCAAGAAGCTCGTTGTCAAGAATCTTCGGGTGGGCTCTCGATTGAATCAAGATTCATACTTCGAGAAGATATGGGGCCAGCTTGACGCCGCGCTGACCGCGATTTTCGATGGCGGGAAACCCGAGGTCTCGCTAGAAGAGCTGTACAAAGGGGCTGAGAATGTATGTCGTCAAGGGCGAGCTTCAGCGCTGGCCAGACAACTGCAAGAGCGATGCCGAGGACATGTATCCGGTAAACTGCGTGATACGCTGGTAGCAAAAGCAGCAGGGGGGAACAACATCGATACGCTACGAGCCGTTGTAGATTCGTGGACGACATGGCAATCAAAGCTGGTATGTTTCCATTCATCTTCCGTTCTTCCACCATCTTGAATTGACTCGTTTGCAGGTTACGGTACGCTGGATTTTCTACTATCTCGACCAGTCGTTCCTCCTCCACTCCAAGGAATACCCAGTTATACGCGAAATGGGCTTGATTCAGTTCCGGCAACACATATTTAATGATCCAATCTTACAGCCACAAGTTTTACAGGGCGCCTGCGACCTGGTTGAAGCGGATCGTGACGAAGGGCGCGGTATGTCGGCGGACTCATCTTTGCTTCGGAACGCTATTGAATTTTTCCATGGCCTTGATGTTTATACTACTGGTTTTGAACCTCTCCTTGTCTCCGAATCGAAGAAATTCTTCGCAATATGGGCTCAGCATGAAGCCTCAGGATATCTCGCCACTTTCGCGGAAAACAGCCACCGCTTAATCGAACAAGAAGTAGACAGGTGCACATTGTTCTCCTTAAATCGGAGCACAAAACAGAAGTTGTCTGAACTTTTGGATCAAGAGTTAGTGGCAGAGCAAGAAGATGTTCTCCTCAACCAAAATGATATTCTTGGTCTGCTGCGGGCCGGCAATAAGACTGCCTTGGAAAAGCTTTACACTCTTCTTCAACGAAGGGATTTGGGGGCGAAATTGAGAACGGCATTCAGCAGTTACATCGTTGAAGAAGGGACTGGGATTGTATTTGACGATGAAAAAGATGCGGAAATGGTGGCCCGGCTATTGGATTTCAAACAGCAGCTTGACGAAACTTGGATCAACTCCTTCCATCGGCATGAGGAACTGGGACATGCTTTGCGGGAGGCCTTTGAGACTTTCATGAACAAGGGACGAAAGTCGAGCGCATCCGGAGGCACAGATAACCCCAAGACTGGAGAGATGATTGCCAAATATGTGGATAGATTGCTCAAAGGCGGGTGGAAATTACCTCCTGGACGAAAAGTCGAGGATGTACCTCTTGCCGATGAGGATGCCGAAATCAATCGACAGTTAGACCAAGTGTTAGACCTCTTCCGATTTGTACATGGCAAAGCTGTATTTGAGGCATTTTACAAGAACGACCTTGCCCGCCGGCTATTGATGGGCCGAAGTGCTAGTGATGATGCAGAGAAGAGCATGCTGGCGAGGCTCAAGACAGGTTGGTTCTGATCCCGAGCGACAGAAATTGACATGTATGCATGGAAGCTAACGTTGCCGATTGGTTAGAATGCGGTTCCAGCTTCACGCACAACCTGGAATCTATGTTTAAAGACATGGACGTGGCGCGCGATGAAATGGCGGCGTATAATTCTATTCAGCGTGAGCGCAAGCACCGATTGCCGGTAGATTTGAATGTTAGTGTGCTCTCTGCGGCTGCCTGGCCGTCCTATCCCGATGTTCAGGTGCGAATACCGCCCGAAATCGCGACGGCTGTCAGCGAGTTCGAAAAGTTTTACTATAGTAAATACAACGGGCGCAAACTTAATTGGAAGCACCAACTCGCGCACTGCCAGCTGCGCGCAAGATTTCCCAAAGGCGATAAGGAACTGGTAGTCAGTTCATTCCAGGCTATCGTGCTTCTGCTATTTAATGAGGTGTCAGAGAAGGATACTCTGAGCTATCTACAGATCCAGGAGGCGACGAAGTTGTGTCAGTACCCCATATTCTCCAGTCTCCAATTACTGATACTTTCTGGGCTGCTGCTAACTGATGTGATACAGCTGACCAGGAGCTGAAACGGACCCTTCAATCGCTCGCATGCGCCAAATACCGAGTGCTCGTTAAGAATCCGAAGGGCCGAGAAGTCAACACAACGGACGAGTTCTCGTACAACGGGGGATTCTCCGACGTGAAAATGCGGATCAAGATCAATCAGATCCAGCTGAAGGAGACAAAGGAGGAGAACAAGACGACACACGAGCGGGTGGCAGCCGATCGACATTATGAGACCCAGGCAGCTATTGTGCGGATTATGAAGAGTCGGAAGACGATCACACACCCCGAGCTGGTAGCGGAGGTGATCAAGGCGACGCGCAGCCGAGGAGTGCTCGAGCCTGCGGATATTAAGAAGAACATTGAGAAGTGAGTGACTGAGAAAATATATATATATATTTTCTTTTCTGGTTTTATTGAGAACCTGATCACTAACTATGAATGCTGCTCTACAGGCTGATTGAAAAGGACTACATGGAGCGAGAAGAGGGAAACCGGTATCAGTATGTGGCATAATGGAAGATTTAGAGACGACTATATCTTTGCCAGTAGGACATTATTAACTATCATGTGTTTTAACTCCTCGAGCATCATATGACACGAAGCAAACGTTGTTTTAATATATGACCAGAGACAATGTGGGGGGGGTACTTTGTTCCCCGGTCCATCGGCCATGCAGTAGTTGCGGCCGCGGAAATCTAATCGCGTTCCCTATTAAGTTATTATTAACCTTCCCCCATGATCACGGGATGGCAGGTCCAGCCCCCACGCGGTGCCGATCCGAACAACCCTGAGAAAAGTTCGGCATTGGCAGACGGAGCCCTCCGTACGCTGGGTTACCTCTCCGTGGTTTATCCACTGATTTTTTTTGTATTACCATTCTAATCTAGCATTGGATAATCCTCTATTATCAATAGCATCATGATTACTTGCGGACCTAGTATTCTGTGATGAGTGCCACCAACCGGTTTAGTGGCAAGGTGATCGACAATATTCAGACTCCATGATCGTTGTCATCATCATTGAATGAATGATGAGATAATTGCGTACATACTAAACGGTGAGCAAGTAAAGTCAAAGACAGCATACAAACTGCACTCGACGCATCACCACCACTCCTTTCGACTCTCGCCCGAGAGAACCGAGACTCGGGAGAGAACGAGCCACCGAAAATAAAAAAAGATTAAGCATAATCAAAGGGATGGTCCGGAAATTGGTAAAATGTTATGTATCATCGGATGTATTGAAATGAAACGGAAGAATAATAAAAAACGGTCTGGGCTCTTTTGGGGGTTCACGTGGATGACTGCACTTTTTCTTTTTATCCACAGCAACCCTTCCCTGTCTCAATCTCAACCCTGAGGGACGGGCGATCAGGAGGAATCCTCAATGGAACACTTCATGGAGCTAGGGATCATCTTGAATAGTATGCGACTACGTACGTGCCTATCATTGGGAGTTCCTGATGCGGTAATGATTAGAGCCCTTCAACCACGCTGGTGGATTTCCATTAGATCTGACAGCGGGGAAGCTAGGCTTTTTTTTGTAGGTCCCATGATCGGTTTTTATGTTGGGGATGTTTCTAGCGCCGTTTCCCCCTTTTTGTCGCACTCCGTCTTCGTTCTAGAAATTATTCTTGCTACGAATCAGTTTCTTTTGTTTTGTTTTCTTTTTATTATTATTATTATTACCGTCTTTTTTTTTTTTTTTTTTTTTTTCCAGATCCCATAATATTGTCGAAAGAAGAGATTTTGAGAGTATTACAGCCTCAATTGACCCAGTCCTGTGTCATTCTTTCTGCCCGAATTGTCAATCTGATAGCGAAAGGGACTCGTAATTGACACCTCTCCAGTACGCATATCATATGCATGCAGAGAATAGGAATAATCCCAATAGTATGTGCCTGCTGCGTCCTATGTAGATCTTCGGGCATCCCACAATGCATACTGGGTCGCTGGACGCATGCCGATATACGTGGAGTGGAATCTGTTGGGATGCTTCTCACGCTCATCGGCAGCGGGAGTAAGGGATGAGTAGACAACATACATCACGAGAGCTGAAAGATTTTTATTTTCCTTCATATGTTTTAAGTGGTCAAGTGCATCGTGTCTAATGATGTAAGGATGGGCTGATAGATCGAGGTAGAGTAATCATCCCAATTATTAGACATCTCTATGTACTACCTCTGTTGCTTGTATTGTAATTGATAGTAAACCATGGTATGTGTGGTTAGTGGATGCACCCGGAAGGTGATATGGACCGACACTTGCGACATCCACTCGATAAGCCCTCCAGGGTAAGAACTGGCAATTATGAATTTCAATTTTAGACCATGAAAGGAATTATCCGCGGAGGAAGCCGTAGCCGCATCCATCAAACGGAAGTAAGCAAGCGTTTTGACTTCCCCAAAGCCATCCCCATACGAGGGGTCGAGGCGGGAATGCCACAGATGGTAATCCGAAGCGTTCGTTCAAAAGTCGCCTGCAAGTCGCCCAAGGTTCCAGACCCATGGGGTTTCGCGGCCGGCGGGGAGTTTGATTACCTATGGACAAGGCCTCAGAACAATGTATAATTGGTGTAATATTACGAGTCCGCAGGTACCATTGTATGGAGTCCTCCGTACATACCTCGCAGTGGGCTAGACCTCTTAGGTACTTACTCGATTAGGTACTCCTCGGTACAGCTGCCTCGCTCGATGTGTTGGAACTATCGTGAACTACTATTCCATTGCCTATCCGGGGCTTGATGGGTCTCATTGCAATCATTGTCCATGTGAACTGAAAAAAAAATTGTAAAAAAAGAACAAACAGGTTTGACAACACCGTCAACGGGTTCGCCTGGTTAGAACTTGTTGACCTCTACTACTTGAGTACAGTCATCCCCCAGTATAAGTATACAACGCTTCCCTTCACTCTCAGTCTTCCCTCATTGTTATTATCTTCCACTCATCTATCCTCCATCTCTCGTCCTCCGGGTGACTCTCACCTCATCATACTGAATCAATTCGCCTCGACTTGTTTGCATCACTACTCTCAGACTCACGATTACCTCATCCTAATCCTATTAGGCTTTCTCCACCTGTCCAATATACTGTGAGTATCACTGGCAAATGACATGCCCCGTCTATCCTTGTGATCTCCGGTTTTTCGACGCATGAGAGCCCCCGGACTGATATATATTAGACCCGAGTGAACAAAACTTCTCCACTTTTTCCCCGCCTCTCACGGACGATAGGGCGATTGTAGCCTCTGTGCCAGTACTATACTCGTGATACTTCTCGGCGCAAACCTAGCGAATTATCCCCGACTCTTAGATCAGGAGGAATTTCGCCCAGAAACCCGACCAAATCTCGCTGCAATTTTTAGCGAGGAACAGACGCTTATAAGCAGACGAATACCCTCCTGGACGAGTGTATTCTATTTTCCCACAATCCTCAACTAGTCTCGCCAACCACCAAGACCTCCGGTCTTTCTCCACATCCGCAGTCGAGCATCCAATCCGGTGTCGACGTCATACTTCCACTTCCAGTTGTTTGCTGCACCTCATCAGGCAATTACACACATCATACATCATGTCTACACAGAGTACGTTGCAAGCCTATTTTCTAAATTTATCACATCGTCTGGTTCTGTTGTTCTCGTTGGGGGCCTTATACAACCCCCTCGCGATCAGACCCACGATCATCATGAAACGAACCCGATGTTCTCCACAAACAAGACTAAAACCCCAGAAAATATGCATTGACAGATGCACTAACGCAACACAGCCAAACACTTCTTCTCGGACCCGAACCATCTGGTTGTCACCGCCCTCCATTCGCTAACTTTGACAAACCCTTCTCTGGCTTTCGACCCTGAGAACAAGATCATTTTCCGCCGCCCCGATTCGCTCAAAAAGAAGAAGGTCGCGATCGTTTCCGGTGGTGGCTCCGGCCACGAACCGGCCTTCGCGGGCTTTGTCGGCCAGGGATTCCTAGACGCTTCAGTCGCTGGTACTATCTTCGCCTCTCCCTCTGCCGTACAAATCCGCAAAGCTGCTCTCGACTGTGTCGACAATGAGCAAGGTGTACTCATCATTCCCATGAACTACACCGGCGATGTGCTCAACTTCGGCATGGCTGCCGAGAAGGCACGCGCCGCCGGAATCAAGACTGAATTTTTTGCTATCAATGACGACGCTGGCGTCGGCAAGAAGAAGGGCGGAAAAGTCGGCCGTCGCGGTATTGGCGGCGGAATCCTCGTCTTGAAAATTGTCAGTGCCTTGGCTGAGACAGGGTTAGTTGGATATTTTGTACATTGGTGAAAGAATGGTCCCTCATGCTGACATACAACCAGTGCTTCTCTCGAAGAAATCTACCGTGTTGCTAAACAGGCAAACTCGCTGCTCGCAACGGTGGGCTCTTCTCTAGAGCACGTCCACATTCCTGGCAGACCTGCTTCAGAAGATACTATTCCTGTTGGCGAGGTCGAAGTTGGAATGGGTATTCACAACGAACCCGGATCTCATCGAATGAAATTCACTCTGCCAGAGCTGGTCAAGACCATACTTTTCCAAATATTGGACCACAACGACCCTGACCGTGCTTTCATTACACGCGAACCGGGCGACGAGTTCGTGCTCCTGATTAACAACCTGGGTGGTGTGAGCAGCCTGGAGCTCTCTGGTATCACCGATGAAGTATACCGTCAGCTTGAGCAGGACTACAGCATCAAACCCGTACGAGTTATTCAAGGAACTTTCCTCACCAGTCTCAACGGATTGGGTTTCAGCGCTTCCCTGCTGAAGCTCGCCGATAATGGATTGGGCGCTGGCAAATCCTTCCTTGAGCTGTTGGATGCCCCCGCCGAGGCAGTTGGTTGGTCCGCCCCAATCCCGACATCCACCTGGGACCGTCGGACCGATGCTCCTGTAGAGCTCAAGAAGACCAAGCTGGCTGAGGAACAGCCTAGTAACGTTAAGTGTATGATTAGTTTGCCCAACTTTCCATCTTCCATTCCCTTGGATGCACGCTAACGAAATGCAATAGTGGACCCTGCTACTATCAGAAAAGTCTTGGGAGCTGGTCTCCGGCGCATCATTGACGCCGAACCAACGGTTACTCGCTACGATACCATCGTTGGAGACGGTGACTGTGGCGTTGGCCTGAAACGTGGTGCCGAGGCTGTTCTTGCACTCCTTGAGGACAACATATCAAGCCTGGATGACGACGTGGTCAAAACCGTCAACCGCATCGTTACCATTGTGGAGAACACCATGGATGGTACTTCCGGTGCCATCTACGCCATCTTCTTGAACGCACTTGTGCACGGCCTCCGGGAGCAGGACAAGGGCAAAACGACTCCTGCCACAGCTGAAGTCTGGGGGGAGGCCTTGAAATACTCGCTCGGAGCCCTAGGAAAGTACACACCTGCCAAGCCTGGTGACCGTACTATGATCGACGCCCTTGTTCCCTTCTGTGCCACTCTGCGCGACACCAAGGATGTCCATGCTGCTGCCCAGGCTGCCCAAGAGGGAAC